ATGATATGTTCATACAAATACAATAATGTATGTATATTTAAGTAATTGAAAATGATTGTTATCAGATGTATTGTTCTATCTGTACCATGTTCGTTCTAGTGTTGCTCGTTAGTTTTAACTCATTCAACGTTAGTTCTATTCTGTACCATGCTCGTTAGTTCTATCTCAGAGCCAGTTCTAATTTTTTAATTATTTAAGTTATCTTCAGACCTCCAGCTGCTCACTTCTTTCGAAGCGACGGTTCCATCACACAAACATGTCACATCATATATTCGCGTGTTCCCAAGTCAGTTAAATAAATTAATTAACTTAAATACCTAATACGAACTTCCATCGATAGGTACGGTCACCACCTTTCTTCTACTGGCCCCAGCGTAGGCGCCTCTGCAAACCCCTCCCCCTGCTAAAAACCACAACCCAGCGTCATCTATTTTCATCGTATACCCTCACAAATGGCTGGGGATCCTTCTTGTGTACACTGCCATGGGACAGGACACAGCACTCGAGATTGTCATCATGGAATTGCCGTAAGTGCCCCTCCGAGGATGCTTACCGTCACGGCCAACACCTCCAGCACCATACGGCATCTTTCTGCTTTCGCCATCTTCAATCTTGATAGAGGCCGTCCATCGGTGCAGGAGCTCCGAGAGATGCTGGCCTACCACTTCAATCTTAGGCATGGCCCCATCAAATCAAGGAGGCGGCAGGGAACAGCTTCATGGTGCAGTTTCCATCCGATGAAGTTCTTACCCAAGCTATTGAACTCGGTTTGATAGATATGGGCACATTTAAGGGCAGATTTCACCGTTGGAAAGAGGATCTGAGGCTAACAACGTTGCCTCAACCCTTTCTAGTATGGATTCGCCTATTCAATCTCCCATACCACCTCTGGAATTTTGAATTTCTTCAATCTCTGCTCATTGGTATCGGTGAATGTGTCATGTGCTCCAGGGACGTCATAACACATTCTAACTTCAAAGACTGTAGAGTTCTACTCAAGGTTAGGGATTTATCTGAAATCCCTAAGAGGCTTGGGTTCCGTTACATCTCGCCGATGGACGGTAACGCCAGGGAAGGATACGCCATCACGCAGGTCCACAGCGGGGGGGGGATTTGGAGAGGGCTCAGGGATCCACACGACTCAACTTAGGGCCCCAGCGTGCGCAGCCCTTTAGGGCCGACCCCGAGTTAATTGAGGTTAGTTGGGGTGGCGTCCACATGACGGTCGAGAGAGACCAATGGCAGCTGTTTCTCTGTAACCAAGGGGTCGGGGGTGCCAATTCTCCAAGGGCTCTCCCTACCGGGAATGTTCCTCTCCCTTTAAACCCCGTCATCTCCCACAGTTGCTCAGCGGAATCCAGTTCTCCTTCCTCAAAGCGCAGTAAGCCAAGACCTTCGAAAAGGAAGGCGAGTGACAGCGAAAAGGGTTTATTAGACCCAAACCGATCCAGCGAGGGCAGCAACAAATGAAGACCTGGCATCATTGCGTGTTTTTTCTTGTTAAATTTTGCTTATCCACCAAACAGTTTGTTACAAATGTTGTGTTAGTTCCAATTTGCACCCTTTTAGTTATATATTATAACATGTTAGATCTATTCTGTATAGTGTTAGTTCTAATCTGCACAGTGTTAGTTCTATTCTGTAGAGTGTTAGTTCTAATCTGCTAGTTCTAATCTGTAAAGTGTTAGTTCTAATCTCCACAGTGTTAGTTCTGTTCTGTAGAGTGTTAGTTCTAATCTGCACAGTGTTAGTTCTGTTCTGTAGAGTGTTAGTTCTAATCTGCACAGTGTTAGTTCTAATCTGTAGAGTGTTAGTTCTATTCTGCACAGTGTTAGTTCTAATCTGTAGCTTGTGATGGCTTGTTAGTTCTATTTTATTACACGTTATATCTAATTTATACCACGTTATATCTAATTTATGTTAGTTCTATTTTATGCCAAGTTATAAACCTAATTTATACCACGTTATATCTCATTTTATACCAAGTTATTTCTAATTTATACCAAGTTAGTTCTATTTTATACCACATTATAAACCTAATTTATACCACGTTAGCTCTAATTTATACCAAGTTAGTTCTATTTTTTACTACGCTATAAACCTAATTTATACCACGTTAGATCTAATTTATACCAAGTTAGTTCTATTTTATACAACGTTAGATCTAATTTATACAAAGATAGTTCTAATTTAAACAAAGTTTGTTCTCATTTTATACGAAGTTAGTTTTAATTTATAGCAAGTTAGTTCTGTTCTGCACAGTGTTAGTTCTATTATGTAGAACGTTAGTTCTATTCTATAGAGTGTTAGTTCTAATCTCCACAGTGTTAGTTATGTTCTGTAGAGTGTTAGTTCTAATCTGCACATTGTTAGTTCTAATATGTAGAGTGTTAGTTCTATTCTGCACAGTGTTAGTTCTAATCTGTAGCTTGTGATGGATTGTTAGTTCTATTTTATTACACGTTATATCTAATTTATACCACGTTATATCTAATTTATGTTAGTTCTATTTTATGCCAAGTTATAAACCTAATTTATACCACGTTATATCTTATTTTATACCAAGTTATTTCTAATTTATACCAAGTTAGTTCTATTTTATACCACGTTATAAACCTAATTTATATATACCAAGTTAGTTCTATTTTTTACTACGTTATAAACCTAATTTATACTACGTTATAAACCTAATTTATACCACGTTAGCTCTAATTTATACCAAGTTAGTTCTATTTTTTACTACGTTATAAACCTAATTTATACCACGTTAGATCTAATTTATACCAAGTTAGTTCTATTTTATACAACGTTAGATCTAATTTATACACCACGTTAGCTCTAATTTATACCAAGATAGTTCTATTTTTTACAACGTTATAAACCTAATTTATACCAAGTTAGTTCTATTTTATACCACGTTATAAACCTAATTTATACCACGAATTTATAGCAAGTTAGTTCTGTTCTGCACAGTGTTAATTCTATTATGTAGAACGTTAGTTCTATTCTGTAGAGTGTTAGTTCTAATCTCCACAGTGTTAGTTATGTTCTGTAGAGTGTTAGTTCTAATCTGCACAGTGTTAGTTCTAATCTGTAGAGTGTTAGTTCTATTCTGCACATTGTTAGTTCTAATCTGTAGCGTGTGATGGCTTGTTAGTTCTATTTTATTACACGTTATATCTAATTTATACCACGTTATATATCTAATTTATGTTAGTTCTATTTTATGCCAAGTTATAAACCTAATTTATACCACGTTATATCTCATTTTATACCAAGTTATTTCTAATTTATACCAAGTTAGTTCTATTTTATACCACGTTATAAACCTAATTTATACCACGTTATATCTCATTTATACCACGTTAGATCTAATTTACTAATTTATACCAAGTTAGTTCTATTTTATACAACGTTAGATCTAATTTATACAAAGATAGTTCTAATTTAAACAAAGTTTGTTCTCATTTTATACCAAGTTAGTTCTAATTTATACCAAGTTATTTCTGTTCTGTAGAGTGTTAGTTCTAATCTGCACAGTGTTAGTTCTAATCTGTAGAGTGTTAGTTCTAATCTCCACAGTATTAGTTATGTTCTGTAGAGTGTTAGTTCTAATCTGCACCCGTAGTAGCCTAGCCTCATGTATCCATTTGTTGAATGACTCTGCAACATTTGATGTAACGTGACCATATCTGAAACATAATAGGGAATTCGTCAAGCGGCTTATAATAGTCATGTAATGAAATAGCTTATAACTTACCTAACTCCAGGAAAAAACGCATTGGCCCAGTTTTCTGGAGCGTAGTTCATCACAATATTGTAAGATCTTTCGTCAACCAGTCTAATGTCGTCCATGTAATCGTTCCATTCTGCTCTAGTATATTTGTAACAGGCAGATTACAATAGATTACCCAGTAATAGGCAGATTGCAATAGATTACCCAAGATCTGAGTATCTTTTGATTTGAATCCCAAATCCTTCAACTTTGTCCTGAAGTTCTCAACTAGATGCAACACACATCGAGAGTGTATAGAATCTGGAAGAAATTCTCTAACTGCTTCTCTGATCCCCTTATCCGCATCTGAAATTATCACTAGCTTGTGTGGAGGGTTGTATGGATCTGGCCTTTCATAGAGAATAGACCACAAACCTACAAAGAGTTGTGGTTACCATACACGAATTAGAGTTAGCAATGAATGAGCTAGAATTATCATAACCTGCAACAGAACTAACATGGCTAGGGATAGAACTAACCTTGTAAGAACCACTTCCAGTTAACATTATTTTCCTGATCGCATATACAATACGCCAATGGAAATATCCCCTGATTTCCATCATATGCTACGGCGCTTAGGAGTATGCCTTTGAATCGATCTTTAAGAAAGGTACCATTCAAAAATAAGAGTGGTCTACAGCCGTATAAAAAAACATTTATGCAGGTGGCGTAGCATATGAATAACCTTGTAAACCTCCCCTCATTTTGTTCAACATGAATATAGCTACCTGGGTTTGTCTTCTTGACCTCTTCTACATACCTAGAAAATTGAAGATTAAGCGTTAGTACCAACATTGAAAAATTAGTATAATCAACGTCACATAAAGGAAATTAGTTTGTATTTTGTTATATATCATCTTCTATTTACCATCGTAATTGATCGTAGGACTCATGGGCATCACCATATAATTTCTCTTGTGCTCTTTCTTTACCCCACCAAATCTTACTATAATCGACCCTAATCCCATACGAGCTTAGAAACTCCTTTTGAACGTCAATAGGCCGTATATCCAGTCGAACCTTTAACGTGGGTTGTAATTAGGTAGCAATGAATCACCTTGAGGCTCTAGATTGACCAGCATTATTGCCATGCTGCCCACAACTGTGATTGTCCACAAACCTTTTGATTTCAAGTCTATTATCATTTTTCGGTGGAGAGGCAAATAACATTCACGGACAACTTTTTGCTACCTTAAACCAACAAAACACTCGAATACGCTTCGGTTCATTCTTCCCAAACTCGTATTCGGGTTTTTTTTGCCATGGAGTAGTATAGCAAGGCCAATCTTAACTCCTTCGTACTTTCAAATCGTTGTCCATCACCGGTTAAAGCTGTGTGCCACCAAGTAGGAATCCTCTCTGATCTGCTAATCATGTCATCAATCGTCATGACATCATCTCCGGAAGGATTATCATTGGGATTCTTATCTGGAACACTTGTGGTCAACAACGCCGACGGGCCACAGTCTACACTTTTTGATTTCAAACTGCACAAATAATAGAAGTATCAACAGATAATAGCAAAAGCTAAAAAGCAAAAACGACAATTGCTTGCTGTTAGAATCAATTAGAACTAAAAGAACTAACAATATAACCATTAGAGCTAACAGTGCATTGATTAGAACTGACATAATAGCTATTAGAACAAACAATATAGCCATTAAAGGTTAGTTCTAATTTAACGAAGTTATTTCTATTTTATAACAAGCTATTTCAAAATTATAACATGTTAGTTCTATTCTGTAGAGTGTTAGTTCTAATCTGCACAGTGTTAGTTCTATTCTGTAGCGTGTTAGTTCTAATAATCTGCACAGTGTTAGTTCTATTCTGTAGAGTGTTAGTTCTAATCTGCACAGTGTTAGTTCTATTCTGTAGCGTGTTAGTTCTAATAATATGCACAGTGTTAGTTCTAATCTGTAGTGTGTTAGTGTCAGTTCTAACTGATGGCAGGTTAGTTCTATTTTATACCTACATTGTCTAATTTATACCACGTTAATTTATACCACGTTATATCTAATTTATAACAATTAGGACTAACAATATGGGAACTATAGTGGAACCAGCAATAACTCTAGTAGAACTAACAAAATAGCGATTAGAACTGACAAATAAAACATTAGAACTCTAGTATGGAGCATAACAAAGAACTGCTTAATGACAAATAAAACATTAGAACTGAAGTCCAGTTAAACCTAGTATAGAACTAACAAGAAGACGATTAGAACTTAAGTTAATTGATTTTACAGTTAACCTACATGTCTTGTCGGACTTGCTCGTTTTCCTGTTTATTCGAAGAATCATCTCCTTCTTTAAAAGCTTGCACGTGAACCTCTTTCAGTCCAAGATTGTGGCAATGCTCCACCATAGACGTCAGATCACCATCGTTCTCAATGAGAAATTTTAAGCTTCCAACTGTTTGATCTTCGTATGCCAAAATTAATGACTCGTATGGAAGATCTAACCTCTCTGCCGCATCAAACTTGAGATCCAAGATGGTGGTTGAAGAATTAATCTTCAAGAATACCGCTTTATACTGCGAAGAGACAATGCAGATGATGTCCTTTTCAGCCATTTTGATCTGAGGAGGAGGAGTAATGGAGAACTAACTAGTTATTGCTCATGATGGAGAGAGTTATGGAGAGAATTTTGGTCTGAGGAGGAGGAGTAATGGAGAACTAACTAGTTAGATGGAGTAAAAAAAGGGGGAAATTTCCCTCCATTTTCACCATCATATCGCATTAATGAGAAGTGACTTCCAGGACTCGTCTGGGGAAGAAAGAGAAGGGCAGTTTCGGTTTTTTTATAAAATACCATCTGCTTTTAGTATAAAGCTGACGTGGAGGGGGCTTAAAACATTAAAGCCCATTTTTTGGGGCTATTCCACATGGGGCAAAGTACAGGGGGGCTAGTCACACGAAGTTCCCACTTTTGGGGCCTGGACACATTTTTCCCTAAAATCTAACTACAAAATAAATTATAAAATCTAAACTACAAAATAAATTGTAAGAATTAAATATAAGAAAATAAATCTACTCTATAAGCATGAAATAAATCTAAAGCAAGAGGGTTCTAGCCTCTTGGCTATTTAACAAGAAAATAAAATCTAACTATAAGCATAGAAATAAATCTAAACTAATAAGCAATAAAAAAGAAATAAAAGAGAAAAAGAAAAGAAATACAAACCTCTAAACAATTCTTCATCTCCATCTTCATCATCCAACAAAGAGAAGAAATATTAAAAGTGGTGTAAAAATTATTATTATTAATTGTAACAAAAAATTATAAATTTGGAAGGCCTTCTCAATTAAGAGTAGCCCTCCTCTCCAAAAGGAGTTATAAAAATTTTCACACCTCTAACCCCTCACTCTCTATCCTTATTTATAATAAACATCAATGAATGTGAGCCCTTGGATTGAAATCTTATCCAAAACCATCAAAAATCATCCCTTAATTCGTAACAGAATTGTTAGTATCGATGCCAACATCGATACTAGCATCGATGCCTTCTGCCTTCACGAATGTCTTCGTCTCGTCGAGATAGGCGATTTTCATATATTATATATTAAGTTCCGCCTTCCGGATTGAGAGATATCGTCGTTTCTTTACGGCCAACCATCTTGAATACATTTTTTTCATATTTGATTTTTTTATTTTCTCCGGTTTCTACAGGCTACTCGGCTTGATTCTGGGCTTGAGCTTTTTGGCTCTTGATTGTGCTCTTTATTTAATTCATGGGTTTTTGTTAAGAGATGGGATTTTGAGCTTTATTCTTCATTAACCTGCAATTAAAGATAAAAACAATTATTAGTGGTATATTTATTCATATAAAATAGATAATAAGGGTATAAATTGAAATAAAATATGATTATCACTTATATACCTATTTTACCTTTTATAGTTTTTGTTTTTATATATTATACTTTTTTATCTAGTAGTATGTTTGTGAGTGTCAGTATTGTTACTAAGCATTTATGTTACAATGTATTCTACGATTTTTGTATGTGTTGAGTTATTTTGAGTTTTATACTGTCAATTTGTTCGTTACTTATTTAAATGCATTGATTCTTTTATTTATGTTTCTTCTTATTAGATTTGTATTTTTATTATTTTAACTTGTATTGTTTTACATCGTGTTACTCTTCTGTTTTGTTTATCTTATTTTGTATTTTTCGTAGATCATATTTTATCAATACCATTTTATTTTTATACTTTTCTTTGGATAGGAGTTGTTATTTTTCGGTATAAGTGTATGGTGTTATGACCTTATAGTTTGTGTATAGGGTTATTAAAGGTTGTTACAATGTGTTTGTTTAGCTTTAAATTTTTGTATTTTTACATATTGTATTTTGGTTACGTATTTAGTCGTAATATTTTGTATTTGGTGTGTCTTATATTTATTGAGTGTATTCTTATTCATTTTTCTTTCACGTCTTAATTTGTGTATTGCTATACTTATTGTGATTTAGTATTTATTATGTTTTTATTATAATTTTTATTTGTGGTCATGTTATAGTGTAATTATTTTTATTTTGTGTTATATTTATTTTATTAATTCTATGTATTGTACATGTATTTATACATGTTGCTGTTGGACCCTAGAGGGGGGGGGTGATTAGGGTCAAGAGGCTCTAATATGCAATAAAAATTAAACACAAGCAAACCACAAAACAAAAATGCAATCAAAGTAAGAGAGATAAGGTTAGGAATCGTTATCCTTGACGCGCGATGTGTTAACGAGGTTCGGCCCGCTGACCTACGTCCTCGCTCCCCACTCTCGAGGAGAAATCCACTACACACCCGGTTTGGAAGCCGGAACTTCGTCTACACAGCGATCCCACACGATCTCTCACTACACAGTTTGATCTCAACAGATCACACTCCCTCACAGTTAATCTACACAAGATCTCCCTCACACAGCAGAAGAAAAGATGCAAGACTCTCTCTTTACACAGCCCCTATGGCAAAGAGAAGAATTACTGAAGCTTGGAAGTGAACACACACAAAAACCACAGAGAAAACAGATTTGAAAATTCTCTCAGGAAGACAGCAGTCTCTCTGGTTTTTGCAAACGTTAGGGCAACGGAAGAAGAAGAAGTCTGGGGCTTAAATAGAAGAAATTAATTAATTTAAAAACAAAACCCAATCTTTTCAAATAGGAAAATAATCTCCTTTTCAGACCCTTAGCTCAGACTGTGCCAAACACGATTAAGTGAAAGCACAGTGTTCTAGGCAAATGACCGTTTTAAAAAAGTCGCAGCTGACCGAAGAGAATTTCGGTTGACCGAAGGAAATTTCGGTCGCCCGAAAAAATGCTTCGGTCGACCGACCGAAAACTCAGTCGATCGCGAACAGCGTTGAAAACTTGGAAAACAAGCAGAGCCATCCTCGGTCGACCGGCACGGTCGACCGATAGAAAAATCGAGATTTCGATCGACTGCACCGGTCGACCGACGACCTCTTTGGAAAAACACTGGCAAATGATCATGGGAGCGGTCGACCGGTCCGGTCGACCGCTTTCTGATATATTGCTGAAAACGATTTTTACCCAACTTAAAATATTTGCAAAATATTTATTTGACCTCTGAAAATTATGAAACTTTGTAAAATGTTTTTAATACTAAAAACAAACTGCTTGGAAAAAGAATTTTGCAGATAGGTCCTCATACTTGTGATAAATAGTATTTTGTGAAAAACACTTAAAAACATAAGTATGAAAACGTGTGTGTGATTCCCAATAGCTTCAAGTAAAATAAGTAACTCTTTGCCTACATTCTAGCACTAGAGAGAAAATAAAAAACTAGCTAATATCCTCACATAGATTACAGTGAGTCTTGATAGCTTTAAGTTTGATGAAGCTTCTTTATGAATTTGTTGTTCTTGAATTAACTTTGCTTCATCATTATGCCTCCTCCTCCTTTGGATATCATCGTTGTAGCATATATTCCATCCATCCTCCATAAATGACACTAACAAGCTTGATAAATGAATTTACTATATTTGCACTCAATAAGCCATTAGTACCGTTAATGGTGGTTGTAAAACATCATCAAAACATAAGGGCTAATAGTTGCTGTGTATGTTACCACATAATTTTGGTCACATAGTACTTTTCATGTACGTGTTTATTACTATTATTATTTGGATATTTATCAAGTTATATGTTTTTCTTGTATGTGTTTTCATGTTGTCTTTAATTTTATTAATTTATTAGTTATTTGTGTTATTTGAGTTATATTGTTTATTAGTTTACATAGTTATTTCTTTCACGTTTCATCTGTAATTTCATAGTTTATTTAGAATGTGAAATGAATGTTATAAGTTTATACAACTTAGTTACAGATTTTGCACGTTGTAGATATTTTGTTGTGTTTATTAGTTGTTTTTTCTCTTTATTTTGTTAGGTTGTATATGTTTTACTTTAATAATGTATCTTATTGTCTATTCATTAATTATTTTAATTATTGTATTTATTAATTTTTAATATACAAAAAGTCTTTGCATTACTGTTTTAGTTAACTGTTCATGTCCATATGTGATTATTGTTTTGGAAATTATTACATGGAAGTTCATATATTGTATTATGTTTATTCTTTATGTATATTGGGTTTATAGTTTTGTATCATATTTGGTTATTCTAACAGGTATAATAATATAATGGTTATTGGTATATTTTGATATTGTGTTTGTTGTGTAAATGTTATGAATACATAATTACATGATTATTGCATATAATTCTATGTCTTTTATCACGTCCATTATTGATATGTTTTTTTACTTTCTATTGTCAGCCATTATATGTTTATTTTTGCTTTACATATTACTATATGATATCGTGCATATCTTATTTTAATTCCGAGGGCGGAATTTATTTTAAGGGGGATAGAATTTAAAGACCATGAATTCTGATACTAATTAAAATACTTTTTTGATATTTTAAAATATTTAAATTATGATTTTAAAAGAGTAATTGTATTTTTTTTTAAATTTTCTAGATTCTTTTATGATTTAAAGTACAAGTTTTATATTTATTTAAATGATATTAATATTTATAAATTAATTTTGTGTAGAGAAAATTTCTTAAATTAATCTGTTGTATTATTGATAGTATTACATATTATTTTTAAATAATACGTTATATTATTGTTACTATTATGTGTTATTTCGTGTATTATGTTGAATTATTAATTACGTATTATTTGTGTAAATTATTGTATTATTTTAACTATTGCGTATTACCTGTCATATTAGTACAACTGATACATTTTATCACGTGGATAATTATTCCATAATTATTTGATTTTTAAATATAAGTAATTATATTTTTATTAATAATTCTTGTTTAATTGTGTAATTTCTTGTATTATTTCTACTATTGTGTATTTTCAGTTATAATACCACAACTAGTACGTTTTGATGTGTACATAATTTTTATATAATAATTTATAGTTTTTCGTAATTGTTATTATTTTAAATTAATTTTTTAAACCTTAAATTCCTCTCTGTATATATATATATATATACATAATTTAATTCCTTTTCCTCTCTCCTTCTCTTCTCCTCTTCGTGAACCCAACCATTTTTTTTAAATAAACATATCTTCAAATTCATCATATTCTACTAATTTAAAAGGAAGCTTTTTAAGAATGATAAACCTGATTACGCATTGTTAGACCCTAGAGGGGGGTGATTAGGGTCTTATGCTAATCTAATCCCAATTAATAGCAATTAAAATTATGTTGATCAATATGTTCTTGCAAGAGATAGAT